ACTTACAATCCTCAAACATACGACCAAAGCAGCATCCCTGTGATCACGTGGGCAACTAGCATGTATTTATGATGGCTTCAATGTCCTTCCCAGCCAGCTTCCAAAAAGCCAAGTGAACTGGGGAAGCCAGATTCGATTCATGATTCACTTAACAACTACAATGATATGCTTACAATCATGGCAAAAAGGGTCATAAAATTGGGCATGATTCACTTAACAACTGCCTTGCTTAGCAACAAAAATTCTGGTCTCAACAGTGGTCCATAATTTGAAGACTAGTTATACAGTATTCAGTATGTCATTCCTTACATATTTTCAGCACATCACTTATGTTTACACCACCGTTTCATTTATTATAGACTTACTGGATATAGTATGTACCACAATTAATTAACACAGGTATTTATGTATTGCCCTAATTTTAAGGACTTGTTAACTTTTCTAATTATGCTGATGTTTAAAAACGCTATAAACAACATGGGACATGATGGGGAAGAAAGACCTGTTGTGCTGATTGCAATTAGGGTGATCTAGTGGAAATTTAATAATATATACTTTGAAATCTATCAAAGCATAAATGTAGCACCAAATGTAATAAGCAAAGGGAGTGTGTGTGTGTGTGTGTGTGTGTGTGTGTGTGTGTATCCTGAAGTTTGTATTTTTTCAATGCACTTTAGAAAAGCACACAAGTCAGATGAATTTAGATTATCTGGGTGTCTTGGTGTATCAAGACAATTGGGGGTGGGGGTGTTCTTATACCTAAATGTAGACAGAATGGATGACAAAGACCTATTTTTTTGTACCATAAATATAAGATTTCAAAAGAATTCTGAAACCTATCAGAGACAGGTTTACATTATGAGATTTAAAAATGTGTTATGAAGCCCTGAAAAATTTACACTCTTTGTGTGAAGTAGAGGAGAGAGGTAAGGGAAGAAGAGAGGGATAGGAGAGAGGGTGGGGAGGGGAGAAGAGGAGAGAAAGGAGGAGTGAAAAGGGGAGAGAGAAAGAGAGAGGAAGGGGAAGTAGAGAAGAAAAGGGTGACAGAGGGAAGAAAGGAGGTAGGGAGGGGGAGGAGGGAAAAGAAAGTGATGGATAAAGTACAAATATGGTGTATGGAGAGCAGAAGAGCCAATAATTGTTTTTGGGAGTAGATAGTAAGATGAATTTATGTAAACATTGAATAATACAATACGATGTTGGCTATGTAATAGCATACATGTGATTATATGTTATGAAAATGAAAAAATAAAAAACTTTATATATAAAAAAACTCAAAAAAACCTTACATTCTTTAATTTACTTGATCATTTGATCAATAGAGTTACCTGTAAGATAAAGCTGTGTTGAATCTGAATCCCGTAACGTTCAACAAACTTTGCTCTCTTGACACTGGGAAGGTCTGGAAGTGTCTCACGAATCCAATCAATATTTATCACTTGCTGGTCACTTATATGAGTGGGCAAGGATTTAGCGTCATAAAGAATCAATGGAGGAAGATTTGGCTCAGGCATGAACCTTGAGGAAAACAGCAACAGCAACAAAAACCATTTATTTTGATTTTTTAAAAATTAAATGTGCTACATACAAAATGCAGATGGTTGAAGTTCTACATAAGAACTAACTGGCAATACAACCAAGCACACACACAAAGAAGTCAAAGCTGAGAACAATCCTCTCATCAGAGACAGATAAATCCCAATCTATAAGGTGTAATTGTCTTCTGAAAGCCATTAGCTTTTAAATGATTGCCATTCAGAGCCAGATATTGTGGTCCGCCAATGGCCAGCAGAGCTAGTGGCAGACTCAGACAGTGAGGAGGTTGGGGAAGAACATGGGCCAGTCTTGGAGTCTGGAGAAGACTCTGATGAGGGCTCTGCATCAGAGGCAGAGATGGTGTAAGGGTCGTCTGACAGTTATCAGCTGCCTTCAGGTTTGGAATCAATGGGGCAGAAGAACAGCTGGAGCCTGTTCCCGATGTGCGCATGCGCAGAGATGTCAGAAGAAGGGAACAGTTAAGGAAAAAGGGCCGACTCGGGAGTAAAAGCACAGGTGGACGGTGAATGGCCCCTCCCATAGGGAATAAAGAGGAGCAAAAGGGGAGTGGAGTTTGCAGGAGACAATTAATTTGCTTAATTAATATGGAGATTTGTTCGTGACTCTCAGAGACTCTTTGCCAACTATTTTCTTGTACAGCATTGCATTCGGAAGATATCGGCCTGACAACTATCCAAGCCTGATGAGGTCTGTGGTTGTAAATTCCCCCTTGAAAGACTGTTTGCAGGGACTTTGCTGGATGTGAATGAGAGGAATTCACATTAGCTTAATAAAAAGGGGTTTTCTTGGGACATGGAGTCTGCTTCGTGATTTTGTGAAGCCTAGGTCAGAACACCAGAAATAAATGGACATCATTTTAAATTATTCTGCGGAAAAGCAATACAATATAGATGCTAGTCATCTCATGCCAAATGGGATTGGATATTCAATTGGTACTATACTTTGGTGAAGAGATGAACTTGCTAAGAACATTTCATATGGGCTGAAACTCCCCTTGTTATGAATCTCTGACAATTTCATGGAAAAGGGAAGTTGTGCCAAGAATCCAATTGCCATCTATAAAGTGAATGACAGCGTCAAAGGACAAAGCCTTTATTGAAAAGGATACTGATTCAAGATGTCAAAAAAATATAGTGATTAAACTCTAGTTCCAGCCTTGCATAACCAAACAATGGATTTGCAACCTTAATTCAAGCTTTACATCTCTCTGCAAATGATTAGATATATTCTTTACAGAAACTGTATTTATGCTTCAGGCATTGTTTTCAAAAGCAACTTTAAATAAAGAAAAGCATTAAAAATGATATTCAACACAAGCATTTTCTCCATTTTTTTTTTAAAAAGCATCCAAATTCTGAGAAAAAGATTCAGAAAAAGGAAGGCTTAAGAATTAGTTACTGAGATTATGCCATGTATTACACATAATCATGGCAGCGAGAATTACATTCACGTAAAAATTACGCACCAACAGAAGAAAATGTAATAACAAAAATATTGGAGTGTGCAGAGGTGGATAGGCTCACAAAAGAATTAAACAAGAAAGAAGAATCTGAATATTACTCCGTATGGGATTTATAGTATAATTGGCTAGAGGAAAGGGGGGGGGGAGAAAAGGAAAGCAAAAAAGAAAGTAAGAAAGATCAACAAATTAAAAAACAACTACAAAACCGGAAAATGATTAAAAGATAGAAATACGAAATAGACTGTAGAAAATAAACAATAGGAAATGGATACAAAATGACTCAAATGTAATAAATGTTGTTATACATAGAATATATAGAATGTTATATATAGAATGTATAACCACCATGAATGTAAAAAAAGAATAATAACTATGTATACCTATAATTGTATATAGAGAACAAAAAATAAAAAAAATATTTAAAAAATGTTATAAATAGAATGAAGAAAAAAGATGTATGAAATAATATAAATGCACACACATATATAAAATTGTAGTTATACAAGACTTATATATACAGATAAAAGAATCATTACAGACATATAAAAGAAGTGTAACGTGTTGCAAAGATGTGAAGTTTCCATAAACAAAATAAAAAGTTTTTAAAAAAGAATTAGTTACTGAATTATATGCAGCATGAAATTGCTTTAGTTATACATAAGAAAGGAAATTTAATATGGAAATGTTAGGATACTTCTGTTGTGTTTGATTTTTGTTGTTATTTCACATTTTATATCACCATATTAAGTTGTTTTGATCTTTGACCATGCGCAAGGAATGAAATACAAGCAGCAACTGTAGTAGTCAGGGCTTAATAACTAGGTTTTATTCACAGAATTATGACATGGAAAAGATGGAGGAATTCAACTTCTCGTATTTCTCTCCTACCCTGTAAAGTGCTTGTCCCAAAGGTGCTTTTTTTCCCAAGAGGCAACTGGACTTTCTGGTTTTTCTTTGAAGACCTTTCACTTCTCATCCAAGAAGCTTCTTCAGCTCTGACTGGATGGTGGGAAATGGAAGTCAGAGCTGATGAAGCCAGAAAGTCGTTGCCTCTTGAAAAAAAGCACCTTTGCAACAACCTTGACCTGGATGGCTGAGAATCTCCATAGATATCTGTAAAGTGCTTAAAAAATATGTCTGGAAAATAAAGCAGGACTTCAGAAAATTGAGTAGAAAAATATCTGCAAGCAGGAAGCTGCTGCTTATTTTCAAATCTGACCCTTTTCTTCAAACGTTCAAACCCCAGAAGGTATTTAAGGTGATGAAAAGAATTGAATGGGTGGGAAAATCATAACTCATCAATCTCATCACATATATTTTCCGGAATGCAACAAAACCTAAATGAAATTACCGATAATCCTGTTTTCCTTCTTTGTCCCTCATTGGCACAGTGCATCTATAAAAGCAGAAAAGAAAGAGGCAATTATAAGAACTGGATTTAGCAAACCCAATAGTTACAGTTCTTAAGTGATTCTACCTCATGTTAAGAGGTTTCACATATTCTTATCACAATGATTAATATCTTGTGACCTAGATCTGCCAAGGGATGGTTTTCTTTTACCATATAATCCTAAAAGGCATGAGTTGACTCTTTAAAGGTCCCAGCAACTAATTGTAAATGAATATGTTGTGCTTACTTGGTGGTTTCTCTCTTCTTTTGTCTCCAGATGGAAGAAGATACAAACCGTTAAGTTAGCACAACATATTCATTTACAATTCTTCTGTAAAGGCATGGTGGTGAAGCGGCTTAAGGATGCTGGATCTGCTGACCAGAAATCGTAAACTCTCTGGCGGTTTGAGCCCTGGTAGCACTGTGGGATGGGGTGAGTTCCTGTCACTCACCTCTAGCTTGTGCCCTATCCACCCAGCAATTTGAAAGCATTATTGGGATAATAGATAAATGGGTGCCACACCAGAGGGAAAAGTTAACTTTGTAAGGAGAATGGGAGCCGGCGCTGAGCCTGCCCAGACTTGAGGCGAGATCGGCAGGGGAGGCCCTGGAAGGTGTCATCAACCCAACCGCTGCTAGCCAGCTGGTGCAAGCCAGGTCACGCTCCCATGGCACACCGAGGAGAAGTGTGCAAGCACAAAACTGAACAAACTAGCAATTCACTTGCCAGGACTATTCTGTAATGTAAGAGTTCCTGACAAATGTATGCCATATGAAATAAAATTTATTGTCCTGACCTGAGTAAAAGACAATGTTGGTCTACCATAACTCAAATTTAAAGAGCTAACATTGAGATAGCATGTTAGTTTAAACATGAAACATCTTAGCTTAAGTAGTAGAATATTTAATTTTCAATGCTGTGGCAAAACTTGCAATATATGTGAGCAGCCAAACCCCAGAGGTGCAGCATATACCTAAAGCCAGGCTACCACAGGATGAAACCATATAGAGTACTTTAAAATTATTTCCCAAGATGATCGTAAGTCCAAAAGTTGTATCAACAGGCAAAAGGTACACATTTTTAAGAAGCACAGAATGCCGAGTAGCTAATAATTACGCTTCTGCTTTCAGATGACATTGTAATTTTCTTTTGGTTTCTTCTGTGTATTGATGGTTGTGGTAAGTTAGAAATAATCCCCACAAAAACCAAAATGGAAGGAAACCTCTTACCCAAGTTTAAAATCAAAGGCTCTAGTTTCATTTAGAATGGTTCCTCCATTCTCCAGCTCTTCAATCTGCCTGTGAATTTCATAGTCTTGAAGAAATAAACAAACAGTCTAGATCAGCTGTTGCATATGCACCTATTTCTCTCTCTATCAGCACAAACAGAAATGATCTTTAAGCCTTATTAAAATCAGGATGATTAATAGCAAGAGAGATACTGTATATTTTAAGAGGCAAATGCTGTGAGATATATGTATCGGCAACATTTAGGGAATTTCATTTTCAATATACTAAAAGCCCATTCTTTAATTCCTCCATGATATGGACTTATTTCTTAGGCTTTTATTTGGCAATTCTGTGTGTCTATATGTAAGATACTTCCACCTCTCACTCCGGCTTGTTTTGGGTGACCACAGGTCAGTTTGCCCCTTCCTTCCTTTTTATTTTATTGTCAGTTGAATCTTCCTCCAAACAATCTTTTTCTTTCTTTTTGACCAGGAGAATTAGGATGGAGGAATCTCTATCTCGTCTTTGGCTGAAGCTGAGGACATATCTTCTTTCTTTCTGGCTTCTTTATATGCTCCTGTTTGGCCTACCAGTGGACAGCGGAGCTGGCAGCACATTCGTACAATGAGGAGGTTGGGGAGGAACATGGGCCAGTCCTGGACTCTGGGGAAGGCTCTGATGAGGGCTCTGTGTCAGAGGCAGAGGTAGTTATGTTCTGCCTTCAGAGTCAGACATCAGTGAGGCAGACAAAAAGCTGGAGCCTGTTCCCAGTGCATGCACAGAGTTGCCAGACGAAGGGAACAGCTAAAGAACAGGTGTTGACTTGGGAGCGAGGCCACAGGTGGACAATGAATGGTTCCTCCCAGAGGAAATAAAAGAGGAGCGAAAGGGGAGTGGAGTTTGCAGGAGACAATTAATTCGCTTAATTGGTTCGTGACTCTCCGAAACTCCTTGCCAGGTTTTGCAGATATCGGTCTGTCAGTTGTCCAAGCCAAATAAGGTCTGGAGCTGTAAATCCTCCCTAGAAAGACTTTGCTGGATATGAATGAGCAGAATTCACAGTAAATTAATAAAAGGGTTTTTTGTCGGGACAATGATTTTGCTTCATGCTCTTGGGAAGTCTAGGTCAGAACAGCTTCTCTCTTGACTCTAGACAGCAGGCAACAGAAAAGAATTCCCATTTTTTCCTATGTGCTGCATCTTCTTTTTTTAAATTTTTTTAATTTAAAACAAGCACAATATCCTTCTTTACATGCTGTAGAAAGTGTATCAGTTGGTTACAAAAAGACTTTCGTGCATCTCTTCCACAGTCAACAAACATACTTCATATTAACTCAAGAATTTTAACTCAAATATTTAAACATGTCACCATCATCATATCTCCATTTTCATTTGACTGTAATTGTTTAAGTGTCCTTCATCATAAAATATACCAAAGTTTAATACATAACCACATACTGGCCTTTCAATTACTATTTCTAAAATCCTCCACTAACACTAAATCCTTATATCCTATTCTAGCTAAACATCCATAATTTTTAACAAAGTTTTCTAATCCTCCTTTCCAAATCACTGTTTAAAATTTACATCCAGTTTCTATATTATACATACATACATATGCGCACGTGTGTGTGTGTGTGTGTGTGTGTGTG